TCCCATATGTTCCATTACGATAGAAAATTCGCAACTAGGCGTAAATATAGGTAACTAGAATGGTCTTGTTTGTTCTTCTTCATTTATTAAATGTTCTAACCCAAGTAAGCAAAAAGTTAAGGATGACTGGCGACGGGACTAGTCCGCAATGTCCCTAATACCCGTCAAGTCTAGTCTAAAACGTCGTACCAACCGGTTATGACTAGTCCACTTTAAGAGATATGTCCTTTAAACACGTCTGGACTAGTCCGAAATGTCTTTGAACCCAGTCAGGTCTAGTCCGTTTTGTCCCTTTCCTCAGTCCAGACTAGTCGGAGAACTAACAACTCAATTTAAAAGATGGGTTCGAACATGTAACCCGACAGTATTCGAAAAATGACGAGCATCTTGACGGCAGAATAAGACACTATTATAGACGGACGTCAATTTATTCAGTCCAAAATCATAGACAGACTCCCATCCATGTACTGGATAATCAGGAATACGTCAAGTTCAAGCGACTTTGACTAGTCTGAAATGTCTGAAATGTCCGGAATACCAGTCACGAATCGTCGTTTTCACAACAAATATTCAGTAGATGTTTGGACTAGCCCAGAACAATAAAGAACTAGCTAAAAAATACCAAAAGCTGAATCTGAATCATTAAGTGAAAGTATTTAACATATTGCGAGTGCCACCACGATGTAGAAAGATTTTACTACAGAATAACACCAAATCAATAGTTTGGCTCACTCTTTGTTGATCTTTTATCACATAGAATTTCATTTTTTGTAATTGAATAAATATACAATATATTTTAGAGCTTGTTCTCGTAAAAATATTATACATGCTTCGATGTTGCATTGAGTAAATCTAGACGATATCAAAGTACTACACCTTTGACGTGTGCCCTGACTTCATCTAAGTGATGAATTAGATAAAAAACATACAAGCCGTCTACGACGGGGGACACGACTACTAGTCTTTTTTGGTTTACTTATATTGTTTTTTTTCCATGGTATGCAATAGCGACACCTCATTAAGTGAAGGACTGTTCGTTGATTTTTGAATATGCATGATACGTTTGAAGAAGATTTTAACGTTTTTTATTGATAAGATAAAAATTCGACAAATATATAGTTCAAAATTGATGTGAATGACGAAAGAATGTTTAGATTTAGCGTATATGCAGTCATTTATTGCTACTTTAATTCTTGGATCGAATTAAATGCTAACATTGCTCTGGAGAATCGGAATCATTTTTTAATAAAACGCTTCTAGATTAGTTTTTTCATCTAACTACTGTTTTTGTTTCTTTTAGTACAGTTTCCATTTTTTTTTCGGTGTCTTGATTAAACAAGGTATTCATGGCAACTGCTTCACAAATATCTTCTCATTGTTTTGTTCAATGGGAAGATAACAAAAATGCATATGCTGTTGTACATGCTAAGCGTGCAAAGACATCATTCACATTAAAAGTTGGTTTAATAACATTATTTGAAGGAAACAATCGAGATCGTCGGCGTGGTAAAATACTGTATATGGGTTAGTTCTTATATATTTTATTTTTAGTTTGTGTCTGATCAAGTTTTAAGTATTATGCTTAAATTTCAGTATCTGACTTGGTTTATTTATAATGATGATCGAAACAACAAATAAAAGGAAAAAGCATAGTGAAAGATAGCATTTTTACAGTTAGTTTCAAAGAGTTAATATAAATTTTCATTCTACAGAACAATGTTTCTCAGCATAACAAGAAGATAATATATGTTTACAAAATATTCGACCAGTTAATTTATCTGTTTTCATCTCATCTACCAAATCTCATCCTTTGCCCCCCCCCCCTCCCGCCACGTACATACATATTTCAATAGATTCCCAATGCTTTTTACCATAAGTTTCTGTTTTTCTTGATTTTGCTCATATGTTTTTAACAGCTTGTGTAGATGCCTTTCCATTGGAATAAAGATTCATTCATGCTCTGAGAGCACCAAAAAAACATACTATTCATCAAATTAAAAGAATATCTAACATCTTTTTGTTTAGGTGCAAAAAGCGATTGTACTGTATTTAGTTTCGATTTTGAACAACAGGATACACATGTTAATACGTATTCTTGGAGTTTAGCACCTGGGCTTTCAGAGCATATCGAAGAGACAGCAAAAGCTATCAAAAATTTTGCTAGTGGAAACTTACATCGAACAGCATCTTCATCTTCAATAAATTCAACAACTGTGTCAAAAGGTAAAAAGAAGGTGAATAATAAGCAACAGCACACAACTGATAATTCTACAATAACCAATGCTAATATGGCACCTACATCACCACCTGCGCCTACACCAGTTATAGTTTTGCCTGGTTCAACTTTATCTACCATTACCATTGATGATGACGATCAACCGTCACGCTGTAACGATCAACAGTTATCTAATACTACTAATGCACATACAAATTCAACTAAAACTAAGAAAACAGCAGTATCATATGATATTGATAGTCTTCTTCAAGAAAATAATGCCTTACGTGAAAAAATTAATGAACTGGAAGAACAATTAATGTTTCAACGGGAAACATCAATTCGTGAGTAAAAAAACTTCTGCTGTACTTTTTTTCATAAATTTGTAGACAATTTACAAACTTTCGTCATATATCTATTGTTCAGCTGTAAAGATCTTTCGTTAGATTTGTGCATTTAATAGTCGTATTTATCAGATTTTAATTCACATAATACCTTTCATGAATCTTAAGCTACGGAATTGAATTTGATTCGAGTTTCTTTTAGCTTTTCCAAATGAATCGTCTTACAACTATTTGAAAGGTATATGTTCAATGTATGATCAATCCCAAAGGGAAGAAAATAAAAAATTGGTTGAAGTACGATATATACTTGATTGAATATGTAGTCATTTTATGAAGTTTTGCTCTTTACTTTTAGTTATCTAATAAATTGCCCTGCAGTGACATTGAAATAAAATTAGCTAAAAAGTCGAGTCCTGCTGCTACAATCAATAATTTGATCAAGTGTTGTTTTAAAGATATCGAATTAGTTGAAATGTCGTATGAAAAATTAAAAACGAAGGATGCATCATTACTAAAGGATATACATGGTGAGTTTGATTTCCTAGAATAATATAGATTTCTATTCCTTTCCAATTTCCTTGGCATTATTTCGTATTTTTTTAGAATTGGTTAATTGTTTACATGCACCAACGAGTATATCTCAGTCAATGTTCTCTGGTACAATATCACTGAAGTGCCGTCATCTTCGTGAAAATCGTAAAAATGAAACTACTCCAAAGGCGAAAAGCAAGAAACGATACCAATCAAAATGTATAGATGAAGAAACCGTGAAACAGCATAACCAAACGATTCACGAAAACGATTTCGATGATTCAGAGGATGATAAAGAAAATAACGGACAATTTTGATCCAACTATATTTTGATCAAATATTTTTGTCGGAAATAGTCGAAACTATTACATATTAGATGTTTGTGTTTCAATAGTAGAAAGTTCTATATTACTGTTTTAATAGAGATTGTAGAACTTATTTTATCGTATATTTGTTTTTATCTGTAAAAGACATATGAACATGTTTGATATAATAAAATTTTATTAGCTTAAATTGACTTATTTTTTATTTCTAAGTTACAATTTCATAACGATGCTCATAATTAAAAAATGATCAATCTGAAATTCAAAATCATCAAAATATGACCAGATTGAGACTATTGCCCATTGCAATGAATATTGCTATTCTGGGAGAATTAGTATATATAAATTGATAATGATCATGTTTTTTTTTGAACGAAAAATATCATTATTTGATTTTGAAAATAAAAATCAAATTTTATTTATCTAGCTGCTTTATAGATGCCTTCTCGTGCTACAGCTTATAGACGAAAAAGTATTCTTCTAAGAAGAAATTCTTTTAGACGAACAATTTGTTCATCAAATACTTTAGACAAGAGTGAGTTGTTAATCATAGTTATGAAAATTCATATAACATAGTTCGTTCTCTTCAGAAAACGTAGGTCTTTCTCAAAACGCTAATCAAGTTTGGTTGATCAATGATGGTAAGAACAAACCTGTTTCTGGTTCATAAATATTTTTAACTATCAAATTCGAGATTTTCAAATCTTCATCATGCTTTTATTAATCAACTTACTATCAATTGATCATAATATTTTTTACTTCAATTGTTCTTTTCTTCTTCTTAGAACCATTAATGAAAAATGATAAACCAACGACAGTATTTGCGCCTGATACAGACTCAGTTGATTTTAATATCGTCGATGGTAATTGTAAGTTTATTCTCGTATGTAATATATCTAAAAACAATATTCACCGTAATTTTTATAATATTTGTTTTTGATTCAAATTGAGAGATTGTACTATTTTCACGAATTCAATTCGTATCGGCTGATTAATTAGAGATATTCATTTGTTTTAGCAGTTAACCGTCGTTCTTGTCCAACATCGTCCGATATTGCCGCGTCTATGATGATCTTCAAAGTTAGGCGCTTGCAAAATAATAGAGATATTGATCTTATCTGCAAATTATTGAATACATTTAATATTAAAAATGTGCCAATAAGCATGAAATCTGTAGAAACAAAAATACATCGTAAATTTAATTTAAAAGAATATTTTAAATGTTATTACATTTGCTCGGAATGCGGATCATCAAACACTAATTATTCGAAAAAATGTCCAAGTTGTGATGTTTCAAATTTAGTAGAGTTTTATCTTTATCCTGTCAAACAACAAATACAACAATTACTATTAGTAAAAGGATTTTATGAAAAGTTAAAAAGTGAAAAAAAGAAAAATATACTTTCATTTTCGGACACAACATATGGACAAATACTTAAAGAGATTTCAGATGATTCTTTCACGATGACAATAAACTGTGATGGAGTATGTACTCCAAACAAAACCTTACAATTGTGGCCATTCGTTTTAATGTTGAATGAAATTGCAATACCTGATCGTCGTTATTTAGAGAACGTTCTAATAGCTGGCATTATACCAGCGACGAAAAAACCAACACATGTTGTTTTTGAAACATGCTTGACATTGATCTGTGATGATCTAATGAAATTAGAATCAGGACAGTGTTTTTATGTTAATGATCTAGATCAACGAATAGTCGTTAATCTTTTTACAATAGCTAGTTGCACCGATAAGCCTGCCGAAGCACTAATGCAAAACGTGGTCCAGTATAACAGCGAATATGGTTGCCCGAAATGCTTCTGTACAGGTACGTTAATCATATGATCATGCAATCTGGTCTCTGCTTCTACACAGAAGAGATTCAATGACTCATGCAGCTGCTTTTACAAAAGATTGATTGAATGCGCATTATTTTAAAGGCAACTTCTTTCAATTTGAATTCTTCATTTTTTTTTCTCAGTTCAACTTGTTCTTTTTATTCAGGCAAACTTTATTATGGAACTCGAGGTACTGGTGCAAAAGAAAAATCATTCACTATACGAGTTTATCCATTTGGAAATTATGTACTTCGATGTCAAGAAATTTCTTCAAAAATAATTCAAGACGTTTACGATATAAATAAATCAAAAGGAAAAACATTCGATAAACCTCAAGTTAAAAAGGGTTCAAAACCAAAAGAAATATTAGTCAATCATTTTGGTCATCTAGGTATATCTTTTTAGTGCTAGATATATTTAATTCAGTACCTTTTATTTCCTCACGAGAAATTTATTTAGAAGAAGTATCTGTTATAAAAGTGTTTCTTAAACAATATTCATTGATTTTGTTCAAAAAAGTTTCATATATCAGCCATATCCTAAATTTTTATTTGTAATCTTTTTCAAATCGATCACAGATATGAACTTACAATTACAAACTAATAGATTAGAAAACAAGGAACTAGAATTGAAAACAACATTCTTTTTGTCTTTGATAGGATTTTGTCCTTTAACAAAATTGAAATATATGAATTATGGAACATCTTTCTTAACTGATTCTTTACATACAATCTATGGAGGAGCTTTTAAAAGACTACTGACCTTACTTTTTGATCGTCAATATCGAAATGAACAATGGTCATTATTTAAGAAACTTGATCATATTGATGAACTATTATGCCACATTAAGATTCCATCAACAACACAGCGTAGGTTCAGGTCAATTAAATTAATCTCTAAATTTAAGGCAAGTGAATTTAGAACATTATTTCATTTTGGAATACCAGTAATAGTACGTTGTATGGGGAAAAAAGCACATAAAGTGTTATTATTATCTTTTTTAACAGCAATAAATCTTGCTTCATCAGAATGCATTACAGTTGAAACAATAAATCTAGTAAAAGAACTTTTACATTATTTTGTCGAACAGTATCAAAATGTTTTTGGTTTACGACATATGACTTCCAATATACATTCTCTATTACATGTTAATGAAAGCTTGAAATATATTGGACCACTATGGATGTATTCAACTTTTAACTATGAAGGTTAATATTATAAGAGTTTAACATTCATGTATTTTAAATTATACACATTTATTTATTTATTTATATAGGCATTGATAAAGATTTAATCAGTACAGTTCATGGTACTATTCAATTCGCCAAACAATTGATACGACAGCATGTTTTATTTCGAGATGCTATAATTGCTCATCGAAATTTTTCTTATCCACTTTCATTGTTCACATTTAATGAACAACTCTTGAACAGAAAAGCGTCATTGTTCAATTATCGAAATATTGCTGATGGATGTAGAATGCCAAAGCCTGTTTCATCAAAATTATATGATGAAAGTGAAAATGGAATAGCTACCATCGTACAGTCATATTTTAACGATCCTGTTATATTTTTCCATTCTGTTAAGATCGGAAATCTTTTGTTGAAAACAACTACAATTTCTTATGGCAAGCTATTTGCTGATAACTGTGTATCGTTTTATTTTTCTGGCAAACAACAAAAAATGGGTCTTATACAAGCTATTGTGAAATCAAATGATGATAATGTTAGAGTTCTAATTGAAGAACTTATTGAAAAGCCAACAAATTCTTCAAAACTGAAAATCAAACTGAACAACAAGTGTATAGAAATTCCAAATACATTTATTTTATATAGATCACATATTTACCATCTTAAACATCCAAAGTGGGTGATAAAAAAACATGGGATGATTTTTAGACCTGGTAATTGTGTAGTTGTACTAGAGTATCCAAATTTAAAAGATAATAGTTGATTTTTATCAAATAATACCTTTTTGTTTTAAAAATTATCTTTCAGTTAATAAAAAATTGTAAAGATCCTACTATATTGAAAAAATCATATTCAATAAAATAATTCAAAGATATTATGAATTATATATTCAAAGAACCAATATGAAAAAATGTGTGGTGTCGAAGAGAAAATCAATAAACAAATAGATTAATGAGTATCAGATATTATCTAATAATAGAGAAAAATAAATATAGTATTTCAATAGTAAAATTAAAACAAATTTCAGATTTTTAAAAGTAAAATAGATTTGAGAAACTGTAAGAAATGATACAAACTATCTATCACATCATACGGTTCAATTGGTTAAACACTACAAGTAAGTAATAAAATTTTCACATGTTCGAATCTACGTTTCGCATTTATCTTCATTTCGTTTAGACTAGTCAAGATGCCAACTATAAAACTTATAAGACTAGTCTGGATACTAATTATAGACATTGTAAGACTGATATTTGACTGCATTGACGACTCGTGTTCTTAGACATCCTTTTTTTCTGCATTGGATAAACTGGACGGTCGTCATCACGCCCCGTCTCGACTAGTCTTTGTCTCAAAAAGTCTTCGTCTAGGACTAGTCTGAAGTTTTTCAAATTTTATACACTGATATAAAATTGGAAGAACTGACTAGCGTCATTGTCACCCGTCCTGACTAGTCTTTGTCTCAAAAAGTCCTCGTCTAGGACTAGTCTGCTTATAACATAGCTGCTGTATATATTAACAGACTTTAGACCAGTCCTAGACTAGTCTTTCTTTAGAAAAAGACAAAAAAAGACACGTTTAATGACTCCAGTCATCCGTTTACTTTAGACGGGCATGAATGACGTACTGAAATCCTGGACTAGTCGTGGACGAGTAGATTTTGAGACAAAGACTAGACGGGACGGGTCGACTTGACTAGAAAAAAGACTAGTCATTTATCCCGTCTTTTGCTCACTTGGGATAACTACTAGTCAATAATTCACTGGCAGAGCACTAATTCTGTTCGATTAGGTAGAACACTCGTCAGTTTTGATGGTAATCTAAAGTATGCATCTTCTACAAAATCTATTATCACTTACATTTTCTATTTCCAGCACTAAAACCATCAACGGCTCAGATCGCTTTCTGCTATAAAGCTCAAAACAATGTTAAACATTCTTTAAATTCGTGATAAATATGAAAAAATTCAAGATGAACAAATGCGTCGTCTTGTCGAAATGAACCTTGCCTATATTGAACATTATGAAGCATCGAATCTTGATCAACTCTCAGTTAAATCATATTTGAAATCGGATGGAGGCATTAACACATGTGATCTTACTCTTCCTATTGGATTAGGTACTTTTATGCAACAGATAGTTGAACGAAATCCTCTACCTATTCAATTAAATACTATTGTTACAAATATTGATATTCCCAGTGACAAGAACGAACCTATTCGTATAACTACAAAAGATAATCGTCATTATTTAACGAAATATGTTCTGATTACAATTCCACTTGGTTGTTTAAAAGCAAATTCAATTCAATTTACTCCACCATTACCCGATTGGAAACAAAATGCTATTGATCAAATGGGTTTAGGATTGTTGAATAAAATTTTTATTCAATATCCATCGACGTTTTGGGATGAGAAATTAGATGATCTTTTTATTGCTTCAAATAGCTTTCGATTTTTTGTTTGTCATCCACATGATCATATACTTGTTGCATTCGTTTGTGGTCGTTTTGCACGTAAATTAGAACAACAAACAGATGAAGAAATCGTTGAAGAAATCATTCAATGTTTAAAACCCATCTATCCACAAATACCAAAACCAATAAAATGGTTAGTTACTCGATGGAGTTGTGATCCATTTGCCTATGGCTCATATTCAAATTTCAAAGTTGGTGCTACACATGAAACTTCACGAGAATTAGCAAAAGAATGTTATGATAATCGAATATATTGGGCAGGTGAACATACAAACTATGGTGGAACTATTGGATGTGTCGATAGTGCTTTTGAGAGTGGTCAAAGTGAAGCAAAGCGTATTTATAATAAATTAAATATATTGTTTCGAGACTGAACTAGTTTTACTATTGTTATTTTCTTTTTATAAATAAATATTGAGGCGAAGAGACATATTAAAGTGGATAGTTTGTTATTTACTCTTAAAATAGAGAAATCTCAATAATGACTACATGCACCATCGTATAGATGTCGCTACGCTCTTTTACTATAAAACAAAGAGAAAATATTTTTCTATAATTTTTTTCATAAAAATATACTTATAAAAAATAATAAAAAATAATTTCAATTATCAAATTCAATAAGGCGTCCATAGCCATTTGATTATGGTTGTTAAATCAACAACAAACAATAATAACAACAACAGTAATACTCATAGAGAGCAAAGAAAGAAAACAAACAACAATAATTAAGATAAATTCATTTTTTAGATTTTGTTTTTCAATTAATTCACATCCATATGATCATTAAAATCTATCATAGTTCGTTTTTCGAACTCGTATTATGACGACAACAGCAGAAACATATCTTTCAACACAAGCATCATTTACAAATGAAACAAATACTACAACTACTGCTACTACTACAAATAATGAAGATCAATCATCGTCAGCGATTGCTGCTAATGTGACAATTGATGAACTCGTTCAATCATGTTGTACTGAACTATTACCATCATCTAGTCAATTGAATAGTAGTAGTAGTGCTTCACCAACACATCTCGTACGATTTGTTCATTCACAATCATCACTTGTTAGTCAGATAGATGAACAACAACGTCCATCTGAACAAGGTACTACAAACTCTTCTTCGTCTAGTCATGATGCACCTGTTAAACAACAGCAACAACAACAACCACCACTAATTAATGTAACGCGTTTACCTTCACCATTTAAACCAAAAACAATCATTGAATCAACAAATTCAATGCAAAATACAACTAATTTAAGTAATATAACAGCAAATAATATTAGTGTGAATAATTATAACGTTAATATTCATACGACTAATGTTCAACAACAACCAACGAATATATTAAATAATGAACTCGTAACAAAAAAATGCCAATTCGATGAAAAACAAACAACAGAAATTGTTTCGCAAATATTAAAAAATATCAAAGAAGTTGATGAACATCAAGCGAATGCAACAACAACAACAACAAATTATAATATCCACATTGATTCATTTAATTTTAGTTCAACAAATCAACAACAACAACATCATTCAACAATTATTAAAAAATCACGTGTTAAAAAAGAAGCAACAGCATTAACCAGAATTATTCTCAAAGACGAAACACTGTCGCGGAGTAAAAAACCAACAAAAAATTTATCGACGCCAAATTTCAATTTAACTAATAATTCACAACCTATGGAATTCCTTCCTGTACCTTATGGATGGCAACGAAGAATATTAGCACCAGATGTTGTTGTTTATCTTACGTAGGATATCCGCGTTTTCGTTTCTAATCATCATTCAAACATCCGTTTGTTCTTTTTTTAGTCCAACTAATGTTATACTCGATTCATTAGATGCTATACGTCAATATCTAGAAATGCCGACATCATGCAAATGTGGTCTTCAATGTCCGCTTATTGTTGATAAGGTTCGTTCGCTAAAGACTTTCGATATCCTTATGAAAAGGAATGCCGAGATCTTTTTTCTTTGTTTAAAATATACGTTATTGTATGTCGGCATTTTATTTTTCTGAAATAGGTTTTCAATTTTGATTCGACGATAAAATCGAAATCTTGGGAAGTAACACAAGTACTGGAAGGTACTCATTGTCGACAAAAATCGAACATTTTAGAAATGGCAACATTAACAAATTGTATTGATTCATTTTGTGAAACAGAACAAAAACCTGGTAAATATTTTTGTTTGCGTCTTATTAAGATTTCATAATGTTTTTTTTTCTCTATTATCCTAAATAGTTAAACGTCGAAAACGAACACATGCTGAAACAGCAAATGGAAACGTATTTGTTTGTGCATCGAATTCATCAAATATTCTACAAGCAAATAATGAATCAGCCGTTTTTGTTAATAGTACAAATCAAGCAATCGAAGGAGGCCAATCGATGACATGGACCCCATTGCAACAAAGTGGTGTTACTCCGCCGTCGAAACGGCCGCGTGGTCGTCCTCGTAAAACAGCCGTTACTCCGCCTGCCATTGCTCAATTGGCGGTCAAACCATCTCATGATAATCATCAGCCAGTTCCATCGTCGCTTCTTTCTCCTCCGGCATCCGTCTCATCGACATCGCAAACGAATCTAGTGCATAGAAATTCAACATCACCATCGACTCATCATCAAAATAATAATAATAATAATAATAATCATCTTCGTTACATAAATGACAACGTTCTAACACCGTCGTCAACCACCGATACAAATGTGATCGCTCGAGTTCCATCTCTATTTGAACAAGTTAAAACAACAACCAATGAATCAACATTTGCTGTTCTATCTGGTGTACAAAATGTTCTTCTTTCACCGAATAGAGACACGAACAACAACAACAACAACAATAATAATAATAAACGCGTACATATTGAATCTGCATCATCTGTTGTATCAGCAACTGGCAAACCAGTGACATTAAATGTTAATGCGCTTAAACCGGATTTTGTTCGGTCGCCAGCTGCTGCTCAAAAGCCTTGTTCGACAACTCCCAATCAAATTGATGTGATCTCTCTAATGGGTGCAAACAACAGTCAAACACAATTAATGGTAACGAAAACAACATCAAAACCAATTGCACCTGTACCATCAACAACGACCAATTCGGATGAATATACCCTAGTAAAATCTTCCAGCGAACAAACTAATGATGCGTCACAACCATTGATGATTGATTTTAATGATCCATCAACAACAAATTTTCTTTTATCGGCGCTTGCATCCGGAGCGTCATCGGATTCGAATGCAATTGTCAATCATCTTTTTCAAAAAGCCCAAACGCAACAACAACGCGGTAGTACACCGCCGCCGCCACCACCACCATCATCGCCGGCAACCATAAAGAAAAAACCTCCTAGTATTTCGTCTGGATTAAAAAATTGTACAGAAACAACTAATTTATTACCGATTACGAATTCAACTAATCGTCAGCCTGTTGTACTTCATGTACCAGCAACAACAATTACAAATGATTATAATCAACAATCACAACAAATTATTTTTAGTAGTAGTAGCAATAATAATAATGGCGAAAGAAAGCAGCCCCAACAAATATTTTTTATTAACAATAAACCATATGTTATTCAACAGAAACTTACACATGATCAATCATCTCAGCAAAGATTGGTTCTAACACCATCGATATCTCAATCAGATGGTTTGTCAAAAAAAGTTTACTTTCAACTAAAGTTAATTTATTTAAGAGGAACTAAGGAAAGCAAAATTCTGTCAATCTTAATATTCAAGCACTTGCGATTTTCATGAATGAAATAGATTTGTCAATGTTGAATATACTACACAGATATGAGAGCTTCTCTAAACAAAACAATTCTATGATTGATAGGAATAGCGTTTAAGTCAAGATCTTCTATATCTAAAAAAAATAGTTCTAACAATAGTATTGTGACAGGGGAAAAGCAAACTAAGGAGAGTGCGAAGCTTTGAGGAAAATATTAAAAAAAATAAGATAGATGGTTCCCATGAGGATCCATTGTCGCTGGTAGAATATTATAAAGGCCATATTTTACTCTAGAAAATATGATTAGCGTCTGATTTTGAATTGGTTTATTTATACGCTTTTTTATTTTTAGCAGAACATACTGTTCATAATACACCTCATACGAATCGAACTATTGCTCCTGCTCAACAAAATAGTACTCACCCAAGTGGCCAATCAACCTTAGATGATGGTGGCAATTGTCTAGTAGTAAACGGCGTTGTTGAACCTCGAACATTGAGTAGCTTACTTAAAGGACTTAATCCATCGTCGTTTTCTGGCGTTGATAATCTTATCGATACGATACATCGTTTTGAACACACAACACCGACGGAACAAAACGATAATTTATCACTTAAACCTTCTCGACCACTTGCAAAATCTAGTCCAGCAAGGAAAACAAATCCAGATAAACCACCGCCAAGACGTCGAGCACCTAAAAAACTCAAACAAGAACAACAACCAACATCAGTAACTATGCCACCCCCTCCTCCTCCTCCTCCTCCTCCTCCCCTTGTTTCACAGCCATCATCGGTTCCACCACCACCTATACAACCAATTGTTGCTGATCAACAACAATGGCAAACCGATTTTAATTCCTTTGATTTTACAACAGCATGGGGTAGTGATACAAATTTAAATTCTCTTTTATTAAACGATGATTTCGATACGGCCGCATCATTTGATGATGTTAACTTTGGAGACTTTGAACCATATATGAATGGAAATAATAATCCAAATGCAACTGATTCAATATTGCCTTCGTTATTTGGCAAGCCATTACCGCCAGATACATTGCCAGGTGTTGATCATCTTTTACCTTGAAACGAGAAAGTTAATTTTCCTGTTTTTCATTTCTTTCTGTTCGCGTCTCTGTTTTTCTCTTCTCGCATATTGTGATATTTGTCTACATTGTAAAAAAAATAGCACGCACGCGCACACACACACGTACGTATATATATAGATGGGTGATACTCAAACATGTATTGGTCATCTCAGGCTGCTGCTGCATTTTTTTTTCGGTCTTAAATATGTACATGTAGTTGTGTAGTTTAATTCTGTTTTTTCCTCTGTTGATCTGAAGAAGAAAAAAAAAGTTTTTTTTTCTATATATGCATGCAAGTGTGCAATTCTTATGTACTCATTTCAATCCCACCTTTTTCTCCTTGTTGCCTCTAGTCTCTCTCGGCCTTCTTATTTATATATTTTTTGTTGTTTGTACAGTGTCGATTTTCTTTTCTTTTTTTGTCTTCTTGCAATATTACACGCGTATATATATATATAAATATAAATATTTATTTGTGCCTTGTCTCCACTGTCTAGAATGATATTTTACGTTCCTTAAATTTTTTTTTCTTTATAACCGAATTTGTACAATGTTCATTTATTATTTGTTTGTGTGCCGTGTCGTTCATCTTGACTTTCTCTTTCTTTTTGCTTCTTTTTGCCTCTGCTTTCGTTTATCAATCCCACAGACTGAACGACGACAACGACAAAAAATATATTGACTCATTTCAATGTGCGTGTGTGCGTGTGCATGAGTGTATTTCAATTTAATACAATAATGGACTTTTCACATTTTTGCAAAAAAAACGTTTTTTTGTCTTTTGATTAAAAATTTGACGAAAAAATTTCTGTTTTTTTAATTGAGAGAAAAAAACTAGGAAACTTAAGTTTTTATTACGGAGGTTATATTAAATTTTGACTTCGCATTTTTATTTTCCTGTTCTCTTAATTCTAGATGGGTAACGGCATAACAATAAATAAAAAGCAGCTTCCCGGCGTTCCCCAACCTCCTGGTGCACGTAAAATCGTTGTTATCCCGTATCAAAAATGGATCTATCATGATGCACGTCGTTTTGGTCATTTCAATCAATTTAGTACTGATAGTGGTTGTGAAATAATATCCAATAACAATAATTCCAATAACAATACCATACTGTCCGTTCTCCCATCACTTTCTTCAAGTTCATTTTCACCTCCCACCTCATTTGTATCAACATCGTTATCGTTAACAAATGATTTTGTTGTACAAACTAAAACACAATTGACATCCTCATCTGTTCCTTCGTCTATATCGTTTCTAACTAATAAATCCAATATTCGTAATAATAATAACAATCAAAATCCATCCGCATCGGCTCTAGTTGGTTCAGCAATGACATTATCGAGTTCATCGTCGACTGTTACATGTGCATCAATAATGCCATCGAGTGATTCAGATTCACGACGTTTAAATCCCAAGCCAGTCTATTATGTCAATGGAAGATTTTTCAAAAGTTTAACACGTCTGGGCGACGCACAATTTATATTGAGTGAACATGGCGAAGACGATATTATATTAACCGTACCATCCAATATTGAACGTTATCGTACGAATGATAATACCGTACGCGAACGTATTCACCGATTAAATCGTGTTATTGCATGCTGTGACGAATTCATTGTCTTTCAATTATGGAAAGGAAATAATGAAGTAGGTTCATTCCTAAAAAAAATGCCTATTCTATGATATCTATCGAATTTATTTTCAGGTCGAAATATTTGTATTTGATCGGCCTATATTGGCGGAATCATCCGACGGGAAAATTTCATCAAAAAAATGTACATGCTTTCATCGACAAACCAAACGGCACCAATTATCGCCTATTCCATCATCTGAACAGACGGTTTCGACAACACGTGCAAACACACCAAATCGACATAGTTCATTAATGCAAACAGCAACATTAAGTGCCTATCATACCAGTGAACCGCAACGTTCGCCGGTTAAATCGTGCTCATTATTGAATGATACTGAAAATCGTTTCGACATGCAAAATGATGCATACGAATTTGTTGATAATACGAAAAAAATTTCCTATTTAACTGGCTCAGCACGATGTACATTGGTAACTGCTTCAGCTGCTATTGCGACTCATTATAATATTAATCATAACACTAATGTATCTAACAATACCTTGTCATCGGCTATGTCGAGGATTCGATTTGGAAAATCGAACAGTCGGTGAGATATTAATCGATGTTTTCTTTTTAATATGTAGAACAGAACAAGTTTTATCTAGCGATTCTGATAGCGATAAAAATTGTAGATCTCGACGGAAGTCCTGTTGTTTATTCAAAATATTCTCAAATGAGAGTAGAAAAAGCCTAGAATAGCTTCAAGTCTTCTGAAGATTCAAATAGCTTTTGTTGTGCGAATTATTTGTTTGCTTACTAAAAATATTTTCCAATTTAATTTCAGCTCAAAATCTGCAAGTACACGTTCATATGCAATATCAAGTGCAAATGATGTTGTAAATAGTAAAAATTCTCAAAATTTAATTCATGATACTAAACATCGCTCCACACCTTATCTATCATCACTATCATGTAATTGCATGGATAATCACGAATCTGTATTACTATCGTCGTCATCTTCATCGCCCACGTTTTATCTATCATCATCATCAACATGGAATAGTCGGATTGTTCGAAAATTTAATTCTGTTGCACATCGTTTCAATGCAAGATCCTATGCTTGTTTAATATCCCCTGATCGAACGAAATTATTGATCACGCCTGATTACGAAGATAAGCATTCATATAGTCATCAGATACACGAAGTAACCGTTATCTTTGATATAAAAACCTATGTTATACTTCGGATAACACCAGCGCGTAAGCTTTTTTTTACAAATAAAATTCAGATAATCAAAGAAAAATGTTTTTTTTCACTAGGTTATGATCAACGGTTCTCCTTCGATCCACGTTATGGTCATTCACGTTTAGCAGAATTCGATACGGTTCGTGGTCAAATAACAGATATTACCAAAGATCGTGTACTTGTTTGTTCAAATCACACACTAAAAACAAAAGTTTATCGTGTAGAATATACAAACGATGGACATCTTATCATTGTTCTATGTACACGTAAGTATGACGAAGAAAAATCCGCCTTTATCGGGCGAGGCAACAATTGATATTTCGTATAGACAGCTTGACTTGACAAAATTTTGTCATGTCGGGTTATCTACGACATGGAAACTAGCGCCCCAAGCGATATGTAAAATTGAGGAAAATGATATTCTCTATTGCGCCAGAATGGAAACACTCTGATTATATTCATCAGCTGAAAAAATTTGTTTTTATTTTTAGTTCCAATATTTCAACGTGTAAAACGTAATTATTTTCTTTATATTCTTAATTCTTCCACATTATTGCATACAAGAAGTATTATCGATTATCGTGGTCCATTTTTTTCTCCGTTTGTATTTACAAATGAATTCTCGCTTTTGTTTAATATCTATCCATCGCTATCAAATTGTGGTTCAACATTGGCTGTCTTAAAAAATATTGAACCATCATTAAATGTGCGACTTATTGAAGTTTACTCATTGCCATATACATGTACAACATTAAAGGAAGTAACACGACGAAATATTCTACGTTATGTGGATAGAAAACAAATTAAACTATTACGTTTACCGGACAATCTAAAAGCTTATCTCGCGTATAAACCTCAATTTACATAAAAATTTAAGAAATCAAAAACTGTATATATATAATTGAAATATTGTATTTTGCTTTCTAGTCAAAATTTTCAGATTGGCATATACATGTCATTCATCATCTCTCTTTTGTAGTCATCATTTTGTTTCGGTCTATTTTTTTTTCTTGTAATCCTTTTGCCTTTGTTTTATTTTTCCTTGTCGTCTTTTGCGCCAACGCTTCTTTCTATTTTTTGCTCTTGTAACTAATTAAATTATAATAAAATACACCGTATTACGATTGAGTCGGCTTTTGTCTGAGATAAAATCGAATCTTTATACTTCTGTTAAACATGTGCATGCGTTGAAGACGTTACTTACTTATGGATGTACAAAATGCTACGTTTATGCGTTTTTCCCTCGTCCTATTGTCTGTAAGAATTGCAAGGGTTTAAAAAGCAAAAATTAGTTCTTGAATAGTTTCCGTAGACTGAAAGGATAGGGCCAAGAAACCGTAATTTACCTGTGTCTGTCTGTACCATTGGCATAAATGACCATTTTTATGGCACAAACCGTGGGTGGATGCATAGCAGAGTCACGCGAAATATCCCGCACTGGATATGGGGCCAGTGGAGGGGGGGGGGGGGAGCGGGATACCCAACAA